AAAGTATATGTGAACTGCTGTATTGAGAGTGAATTTGCTCTGTAAATCTTCACCCAAATCTAAATAAAATAAAATTTAAAAAAAAAAAAAAGAAGAAGAAGTTACCCTGACTTTGTTCCTGTTAGCTCTGTTATATATGGACATTGTTATAGTACATGCAGATATGTATGCAGAAATATTGTATGCTAAACTTACTCCATTTTGCCTGTCTACCTATGTATCTACTCATAGATTAATATTTATTATTACTGGTAGTGGAATATTGTGTATGTAAAAAGCATTTACCTTTGTTGTCTATACCTCTTGTGTACCTCTTTATGTCTTCCTTTTCCTTATTGTTACTGTGTTGGTCGCTTGCTTTTGGTATATTATCTTTTGCTTCATCCAGATCAATATGTGTCTCTTACCTGTCTGGCAATCTTCCCTCTTCTCCCCTCGCATTCCTGGTAACCAACATAGAAAGTTTTCTTCCGTGTGAAACCTTTCCTTGACTTTTTACAATAGGGGACTCATAGAATACTTGTCATCCTGTGATTGACTTATTTCAGTCAGCATAATGTCTTCCAAGTTCATCCATGTTACAAGGTGTTTCATGGGTTCTTCATTATTCTTTAGTGTTGCAAAAATATTCCATTTTGTGTCTGTACCCCAGTTTGATTGTCCATTTATCCACCAGTGAGCACTTAGGTTATTTCCATCTCTTTGCTATCGTGAATAGTGCTGTGATGAACATGGGTGTGCATGTATCTATTCGTTCCCCAGCTCTCACTTCTTTAGGATATATACCTAGTAGTGGGATTGCTGGATCAAATGATAATTCTATTTCCAAATTTTTAAGGAAGTACTGTACTGTTTTCCACAGTGGTTGTACTATTTTGCAATCCCACCAGCAGTATATCAAATGTTTCAATCTCTCCATACCCTTGCCAGCACATTTGTTATTTTCTGTCTTGTTAAACTTTACTGTTATTGCTGGGATGAGATGATAGCTCATTGTTTTGATTTGCATCTCTCTCTCTTTTTTTTTTT